TTAACTTTTTTCGTAATATTTATTTTTATTTTACAGTTGTTCTTCAGTGAATATATTGCCTTTATTATGAGAATAAATAATTTTTCAAAGAAAGAGAAGTGGTACATAATAAATTTAAGACAATATTCTTTCAAAGTACAAGCTTTTTAAAATGGCCACTTAGTTATATGCTTCAATTAGTCTGAAGGTTTTACTTACATGAAATAATCTATGAAATAACCCAATTATTGCAATCAAATGAGGACTAGAGTTGTTCACTCACCATGAAGGTGAAACATTCTATTTTATATGTGTATATCTTGCCTTATATTCTCATATTTTATATAAAGAAAGGCTATATTTATGTGATATAATTTTTAGTCAGCGAGTATTCAAAAAATTCTTCAAAGTTTTTTTAATGAAGCCCAAAATAGCACATTATTCAAGAAATAAATATTAAAAAAATTAATGGTTCAAATAACATTGCACTGAAGAATAAGTTCTTGGATTCGAAGGAGGGGAGGGCCTAAAATGTTAATGCTTGAGAGCCCATTCTATATATTAACATGGCAGTAATTCATTTCATTTGTTTTAATCAAAGGGAAAATGCTGTACATGATTCCAAAAGTCTCCGTTTTTCTAACTCTTCACTAGAAAGTAACAGAAAACTACTGCAGTTAGCATAAATGGGGTTTCTAGGTCCCAAGGAGCAGAATACAGAGAGAATTTAGGAAGGGAAAGGAATCGGGAAGTGAAATCCACCAGGCTGGGTTGGATTCTAGTCTGCTTCATTCATGTTTTTCTACATAGTTCCTTGGATTTCAAAGGCAAGTCAAAGACAGTTGATCCAGCCCTAGGTGGTTTTGCTTGGTGGATACAGCGTAGGCCTGTGGACTGAATGGTCCCAGGTTCGATTTCGGTCAAGGGCATGTACCTTGGTTATGGGCACATCCCCATTAGGGAGGTGTGCAGGACGCATCTGATCAATGTTTCTCTCCTGTCGATGTTTCTGAATCTCTATCCCTCTCCCTTCCTCTCTGTAAAAAATCAATAATATATTAAAAGAAAAAAAAAAAGAAAGAAAGCAAAGAAAAGATAGTTACTCCACAGACTAAGCCAAAGGGAAATAAGTTTTGTCCTCTCAGTTTTCATTCAAAATTTCTAGTTCCCTTTTACATGAAAATCCCATCAGTGTTGCAATGAAAGAAAGAAAAATGGAAACCTGAAAAAGTTATCAGTAAAATGATGCTACAACTGCATGAAAGAAAGTCATTTTTCCATTGAATTGTGACTGGTGGGTGATGAAAAGTGGTTTTATTTTGAGAATTCCAAATGCACAAAATCATGAGTTCATCTAGGTCAACCATCAACATCAACTACAACGCCAACTTGCTTTGGAAAGAAGGCAGTGCTCTTCCTTTGGTGGGATCAGGAAAGTGTGGTGAATTATGAGCTTCTAAAACCAGAAATTTGACACATGTTTTGACTGTGAAACTACGAAAATAGAACAGAAGACACAGCAAAGTAATTTTGCTTCATGTTGATGCTCCGTCACACACTTCAAAACCAGTCTAACATGCCATAAAAGATCTTGCCTAGGAAGTATTAACTCACTTGCTGTATTCATCAGACCATGCTTCTTCACATTACCACTTGTTCCCATTGATGGCACACACACTTTCTGCACAGCCCTTCAAAACACATGAAGAAGTGGAAAATTGGGTCTCTGAATGGTTTGCCTTAAACAAGAAAAGTTCTATTGGGATGGTACCCACAAATTAACCGAAAGATGGGGAAATGTGCAGCTACCAATGGACATTACTTTGAATAAAGCACTTTTGATGTTTCTTTTGAAATTATCCTATTTCTTTTATCACAAAATCCACATTATTAACAAATATATGATCATAGTAAGCTTTCCATAGAAGAATAATATTCACATTTTTATGCAATACCACCAATTTATGGATTACGCCTTTCAATTCTTCAGCACGTTTGTGAAAGCTATAGAATGTCTGCTTTCGATGGGTCCTCATCTGACTCAAGGAATTGCTTAGAAGAGTAAAAGTGTTCCAGTAATGACATTCGAGAGCATTGGCTAGTTCTCAAAGAGATGAGTGCCTCTCATCTGCCCTGTTACAGGGTCTCCTGTTGTGTGGTGGTCTCTTTTGCTTTAAAAGCCTTTCAGCTTTTATTATCCACAATTTCATTATTGGGAATATGCACTTTACTATCAGAAACAGGGGGGAAAAGGCCCAAACACATAGGATCTATACCAATAATATAGGAATATGCAAATTGTCTGGGACACCATTACAGTAACAGTAACAATCAAACAGAAGACTGTGTGAGGCAACAAGGCTGGCAGGGGGGTTGGTGAGGGATGACCAAATGACTGAACAACAGGCTGCATGGGGCGACCAGGCTGCCATGGGACAGTTGGGGGCAATCAGACGAGTTAGGTGCAAAGTAAGGGGCAACCAGAGAGGCAGAGTGTTAGACAGTGAAGGCTGAACAGGCCAGCAGGGGGGCAGTTAGGGGCAACCTGGTTGGCAGGGTGGCAGTTAGGGACAATCATGCAGGCAGGCAGGTGGGCTGTTAGGAGGCAACAGTGTTGGTGTGTGATAGGGATGTCCTATTGCCGGTTTAGGCCCGATTTCCAGGATAGGGACTAACCAGCAATCAGACACTCACCATGGCCCCTTTCATCATTATTGTTTCCTTGGAACTGCTGCGGGGCTAGGTTAAAACCTGCAAAACTATCCCATAATGATCCTCTTACTGTAGAAGGGCATCTTAGCTGCGAATCACTTGGTTCTAACATGGCCTTTATTCATACAAATTTACTACAGTTTCTTTGTTTTACCGTAGTGACAGTCTACACTTTGTTTTTATCAGAAATGAATTTTCTAGTAAAGCAAATTGTATACCTTTGTCTTTTTTTCTGAATTTCAAGGTTAATTTTATTTTATATTGGTGATTATTTAGTTGTTCATGTAAAGTAAAAGTTAATGCCACTCTGTAGAATTAGTTTATTCCCCAGCTCTGGCCAGTGTCACTCAATGGTTAGAGTGTGGATCCACACACCAAAGGACACCAATCTGATTCTAGGTCAAGGGCACATACATGGGTTGCATATTCAATTATGGCCCAAGTTGGGGTACGTGCAGAAGGAAACCAATGGATGGATATCTTTCCCAATGATGTTTCTCTCTCTCTCTCTCTCTCTCCCTCTCTCTCTCTCTCTCTCCCTCCCTCTCTCTCTCTCTCTCTCTCTCTCTCTCTCTCTCTCTCCCCCCTCTCTCCCTCTCTCTCTCTCTTTCCCTCCATCCCACCCCTCACTTTCACTTTCTCTAAATATCAATGGGGAAAATCTCTTCTTGTGAGGATTAAGAAAAAACAAAAAAGAAAAAAGAAAAACTCATTTTAAATCCTAGAAACAAAAAAAATTAAATTTCCCAATGATATTATTTCCCTTTATAATAGGTTTATTTAACTCATATTTCTTTTATGTATCTTTCTCTCTGTTAATATTGTTTTATTTAATTTCCATTCTTTTTTTTTCTTTTTTTGCTTAATCCTTTCACTTTTGGGCACTGTTCTTTTAAAAATCACTTATAATAACATCAAAAATCAGACGAGCAACAATACACAGTGTAACTCCAGCTTACTTTAAAGTTCTAGTGAACTCAAAGGCAAATCATATCCAGGTAACCTAGAAAGAATGATGATAAAAAGTACACTCTTGTTAATATGTGTGTGTGTGTGTGTGTGTATATATATATATATATATATATATATATATATATATATATAACATCTTTTACTTTAGCTGCTCAAATGACTCCAGGCCCCGCCCTTCACAGGCTGGCCTTTTTGAACCTGGGGCCTCCCCTAGTGGCAGGTGTGTTTTCACTTTTCCTACATCAGCCAGGATTGCCCCTCTGTCCAATAATATATAATAAATCATATATATGGTGATAACAGTACATATCTATGTAGATTATAGAAATTACCTTCTATAATTAGGTAATAAGAAGTGTATCTCTGTCTGAATTCTCTTATCAGTTCCTGTATCCATAACCCTTGACCTGTAAAGTCTATACTTATGCTCCTCAGGGAAATTCTTCTGGCCTATGCTTCATTACCTCAACAGCACTCTAGATATTTGCTAATTAATCTCACAAATTAATCAGGAACTGGGTAATGGGAGGGTTACAGAAGCAGGGGGAATGTGACATCACTAATACTCTCAACAATAAAGATTTTTTTTTTTTAAGTAATTTAAAAAATGTTAGAAAAAAGATTAAAAAGTTCTGTCCTATCGGATTTGGTCTGCAGACTGAAGATTCCCAGATTTGATTCTGGTCAAGGACACAGGTCCAGAGTGCAGGCTGGATAACCGGTAGGTGGCATGCAGGACGCAGCCAATCAATGATTCTCTCTCACCATTGATGTCTCCCTCCCTCTCCCTTCCTCTCTGAAATCAAATTCTTTAACTAAAAGTATCTAACAAGTTTTGTTTAATGGGATTTGTTTTCAATGCTAGTCCTGGCATGTTGAGCAGTGCCTAATGCCTAGTAGGTAGGCCTGGAGAGGTGAGTTATACTTCATGAATGAATGAAGGCATTTGTCACCCTCTGGGCATGATCCCTGGAAGTCCTGGGCTTACACCTCAATTCCCAGCAGAGACTCCTATTGCTGCATCTGGACAATTAAAGATGTTTGTCAAGTTGCCCGCCTCCCCTTCTTTTTTCTTCCTGCTGAGTGGGGAAGAGAGGAAGAGCTGGTCTCCTCTCTTCATTACAGGCTGCTCTGCCTTTCTGACTCTCTCCCACCCCCAGCAGCCTTCTGCCTTCCTCTTCTCCCCTCCCCTGACAGCCTCCCTCTTGGAGGTTCCAGGTTCTTTGTGGCAACCTCCCTAGAGGTGCCTTTCTCCTCCTCTCCCTGCCCTGGGGTATCCCACACAAAGGCAGGTCTCTATGTCCCCTACCCAGCAAGGCTCTGTGACCTCCCTCTATGGGGCTGGGGCTGCCCTTGTCTGCGAATCCTGGCATGACCTCACCTTCTGCAGGTGAATCAGAGTCTGTATCAGTTTCTCTTTCGCTTTAGCTGCTCAACTGGCTCCAGGCCCCGCCCTGCACAGGCTGGCCTTTCCCAGCCTGGGGCCTCCCCTAGTGGCAGGTGTGTTTTCACTTTTCCTACATCAGCTGGGATTGCCCCTCTGTCCAAGCTAAAAGCTGCACCATGGAGCCCATGTCAGCAGAGCTGCAAGTTCAGACATACAGACAGAACAGCAGCCTGAGACACAGAAGAGGAGACTGAGACCAGAGACACCAAACAAGGCTGGTGACTCCCAGGTGGCAGTCTCTGCGTGGACACGTGGACGCCCATCTGCTGACAGAGACCAGAGAGCAGAGGCCAGAGACCAGGATGAAGCCTGACTGGGCTGTGTGGTGCACGCTGGTGCTGATGCTGATGGCCGCGGTGCTGAGCAGGACAGGAGCAGTTCCTGCCCCTCCGCCCCCCAGGACCCACCTGGGTGCCAGGGGCTGCCACATGGACCAGTTCAAGTCTCTGTCCCCACAAGAGATGAAGGCCTTCAAGAGGGCCAAGGACGCCCTGGAAGAGTCCCTCCAGCTCAAGAACTGGCACTGCAGCTCCCGCTCACTCCTCAGGCCCCGGGACCTGAGGCAGCTGCAGGAGTGGGAGCGCCCTGTGGCCTTGGAGGCTGAACTGGCCCTGACACTGAAGGTCCTGGGGACAGTGACGAACTCGACCCTGGGAGACATCCTGGACCAACCCCTCCACACACTGCAGTACATCCACTCCCAGCTTCAGGCCTGTGTCCCAGCTCAGGCCCCAGCAGGCCCCAGGGCCCTGGGCCACCTCAACCAGTGGCTGCATCGCCTGTGGGAGGCAGAGCAGAAGGAATCCCAGGACTGCCTTGAAGCCTTTGTCACATCCAACCTCTTCCGCCTCCTCAACCAGGACCTGAAATGTGTCGCTGCAGGACACCTGTGTTCCTGACCTTGAGACCTGGCAGCCACCTGTGCCCTCATCATGGATTTTATTTATGCATGCTCCATTTTTTAATTTATTGTCACCCAACCGCTATTTATACATTTATATATTTATGTGTGTGACTTGTCAAACTCAGACCCGACAAAATATTTATTTTTTTTACTTTTGTAAAAATTTTGCTACTAAATAATGAATACAATAAAATAAGTATTTATTAACTTATCTTAACATTAATAAAGAAAAATAAATGGGAAATCCAATATATTCTTGTGATATATGTGTATATACACTAAGTATGTATATATATGAATACTAGAAGCACAGTTCATGATTCCATGAATGGGCATAGTCCAATTCGGTGTGCAGTTGGGGGAGAACAGGCCAGCAGCGGGGTTAGGGGGACTATTGGGGGTGAGCAGGCAGACAATGGGGAAAGTTGGGAAGTGATCAGGTCGGCTGAAGGAGAAATTTAGGGGTGAGAAGGCTGCTGGGGGACAATTTGGGGCAATCAGGCCAGCCAGGGAGGGCAGTTGGGGGCAAGAAAACTAGCAGGGTGGGCAATTGATGGAGAACAGGCCAGCAGGTAGAGTGGTTAGGGGCAATCAGGCAGGCAGGCAGGTGAACAGATAGGAGCCAGCAGTCCCAGATTGGGATATGGATGTCCGACTGTCCCTGAAGGATCCCATATTAGAGAGAGTGTAAGCTGGGTTGAGGGACATCCGCCCCATGCACAAATTTTGTGCACCAGGCCACTGTTATGTGTATGTATATATGTATATATGTATACGTGTATATGTGTATATGTGTATATACATATATATGAGTAGATAACAGATAAGTGGTAAAGAGACATATTTTTTTGAATTAGATAGTATGTATCTGAATTTGAGGTTTACCACAAACCTCAGAAGAATTTTATGGTAATTCAGTGAGATAATTCATGTAAACTGTTTAGCAGAATGCCAGGCACATAGTGATACTCAACAGCATATACACCTCCAATATCAACATGTACACCTCACACTCTCTCTGACACCAGACGGCTACATAAAATGTCCTTGGTTTTGGAAAGTATAAATGATTTTTTTGAAAACCCAGAACCTTGCCCTAGCTGATTTGTCTCAGAGGAGAGAGCATCAGCTTGTGGATTGAAGGGTCCTGGTTCCATTCTGGTCAAAGGGCATATGCCTGGGTTGCAAGCAGAACCCCCTGTAGGGGGCATGCAGGAGGCAGCCATCAATAATTCTCTATCATCATTGTGGTTTCTATGACTCTCTTCTTCTCTTTTCCTCTTTGAAATTAAAAAATATATTTTTAAAGAAAGAAAAAACCCAGAACCTTGAGAGCTATGGACTGTGAGAGGGCGGAGAACTGGCTGAGGGACCCCCACTACAGTGCATGAATTTTTATGCATCGAACCTCTAGTGTTATATATAAAAACCATGTCCTTAACTGCATTAAAGGTTTTTGTTATTGGAATAAAAATTATAGGTGATTTTAACTTTTATTTTTATTTTATTATTTAATTTATTTATTTAATTATTATCTGTGTACATATTTTACCATTGACCTCTTCCTTCCCATACATACCCACTCTCCCCAGAGTTTTGTGTCCATTGGTTGTACATATAAGCATATATACAAGTCCTTCTGTTGATCTCTTATCTCCCCCATATCACCTTCCCCACCCCACTGTTATTTTACAGTCTGCTTGTTGCTTTACTGTTTCTGTATCTATCTTTTGGTTCATCAGTTTATAATATTCCTTATTATCCATAAAAGAGTGAGGTCATGTGGTATTTCTCTTTCATTGACTGGCTTATTTCACTCACCATGATGTTCTGCAATTCCATCTTAGGTTGCTGCAAATGATGAGAATTACTTCTTTTTTATGGCAGCATAGTATTGCATTGTGTAGATATACCATGGTTTTTTGATCCAATCATCTGCTGAGGGGCACCTAGGCTGTTTCCAAATCCTAGATATTGTAGATTGTGCTGCTATGAACATAGGGGTGCATATATCCTTTCTGATTGATGTTTCTAGTTTCTTGGGATATAATCCTAGGAGTGGTATTACTGGGTCAAATGGGAGTTCCATTTTCAGTTTTTTGAGGAAACTCCACACTGTTCTCCACAGTGGTTGCACCATTCTGCATTCCCACCAGCAGTGCACGAGGGTTCCTTTTTCTCCGCAACCTCGCTAACACCTGTCGTTTGTTGATTTGTTGATGTTGGCCATTATGACACGTGTGAGATGGTACCACATTGTTTTTTTTTATTTGCATCTCTCAGGTAATTGGTGACTTTGAGCATGTTTTCACATGCCACTTGGCCTTCCTTCTCTCTTCTTTTGAAAATATTCTATTTAGGTCCATCCATTGCCCATTTTTTAATTGGATCATTCCTTTTCCTTTTATTTAGTTGTATAAGCTGTCTGTAGATGTTGGAGATTAAACATTTATCAGTGATAACATTTGCAAATGTTCTCCCATACAGTGGACTTTCTTGTTGTTTTGTTGATGGTTTCTTTTGCTTTACAGAAGCTGTTTATTTTGATGTAATCCCATTTGTTTATTTTCTCTTTAGCTTCCATTGCCCTAGGGGCAGTATCAGTGAAGAAGTTCTTTTGGCATATTTCTGAGATTTTGCTTCCTTTGGATGCCTCTAGTATTTTTATGGTTTCCCGTCTTATGTTTAAGTCCTGTATCCATTTTGAGTTTCTTTTTGTGTATGGTGTAAGTTGGTGATCTAGTTTCATTCTTTTGCATGTATCTGTCCAATTTTCCCAACACCATTTATTGAAGAGATTGTCTTGATTCCATTATATATTTGTGCCTCCTTTGTCAAGTATTAATTTAGCATAATGATTTGGGTTGATATCTGGGTTCTCTATTCTATTCCATTGATCTATATAATTTTAACTTTTTTCGTAATATTTATTTTTATTTTACAGTTGTTCCTCAGTTAATATATTGCCTTTATTATAAGAATAAATTATTTTTCAAAGAAAGAGAAGTGGTACATAATAAATTTAAGACAATATTCTTTCAAAGTACAAGCTTTTTAAAATGGCCACTTAGTTATATGCTTCAATTAGTCTGAAGGTTTTACTTACATGAAATAATCTATGAAATAACCCAATTATTGCAATCAAATGAGGACTAGAGTTGTTCACTCACCATGAAGGTGAAACATTCTATTTTATATGTGTATATCTTGCCTTATATTCTCATATTTTATATAAAGAAAGGCTATATTTATGTGATATAATTTTTAGTCAGCGAGTATTCAAAAAATTCTTCAAAGTTTTTTTAATGAAGCCCAAAATAGCACATTATTCAAGGAATAAATGTTAAAAAAAATTAATGGTTCAAATAACATTGCACTGAAGAATAAGTTCTTGGATTCGAAGGAGGGGAGGGCCTAAAATGTTAATGCTTGAGAGCCCATTCTATATATTAACATGGCAGTAATTCATTTCATTTGTTTTAATCAAAGGGAAAATGCTGTACATGATTCCAAAAGTGTCCATTTTTCTAACTCTTCACTAGAAAGTAACAGAAAACTACTGCAGTTAGCATAAATGGGGTTTCTAGGTCCCAAGGAGCAGAATACAGAGAGAATTTAGGAAGGGAAAGGAATCGTGAAGTGAAATCCACCAGGCTGGGCTGGATTCTAGTCTGCTTCATTCATGTTTTTCTACATAGTTCCTTGGATTTCAAAGGCAAGTCAAAGACAGTTGATCCAGCCCTAGGTGGTTTTGCTTGGTGGATACAGCGTAGGCCTGTGGACTGAATGGTCCCAGGTTCGATTCCTGTCAAGGGCATGTACCTTGGTTGTGGGCACATCCCCATTAGAGAGGTGTGCAGGACGCATCTGATCAATGTTTCTCTCCTGTCGATGTTTCTGAATCTCTATCCCTCTCCCTTCCTCTCTGTAAAAAATCAATAATATATTAAAAGAAAAAAAAAAAAGAAAGAAAGCAAAGCAAAGATAGTTACTCCACAGACTAAGCCAAAGGGAAATAAGTTTTGTCCTCTCAGTTTTCATTCAACATTTCTAGTTCCCTTTAACATGAAAATCCCATCAGTGTTGCAATGAAAGAAAGAAAAATGGAAACCTGAAAAAGTTATCAGTAAAATGATGCTACAACTGCACGAAAGAAAGTCATTTTTCCATCGAATTGTGACTGGTGGGTGATGAAAAGTGGTTTTATTTTGAGAATTCCAAATGCACAAAATCATGAGTTCATCTAGGTCAACCATCAACATCAACTACAAGGCCAACTTGCTTTGGAAAGAAGGCAGTGCTCTTCCTTTGGTGGGATCAGGAAAGTGTGGTGAATTATGAGCTTCTAAAACCAGAAATTTGACACATGTTTTGACTGTGAAACTACGAAAATGGAACAGAAGACACAGCAAAGTAATTTTGCTTCATGTTGATGCTCCGTCACACACTTCAAAACCAGTCTAACATGCCATAAAAGATCTTGCCTAGGAAGTATTAACTCACTTGCTGTATTCACCAGACCATGCTTCTTCACATTACCACTTGTTCCCATTGATGGCACACACACTTTCTGCACAGCCCTTCAAAACACATGAAGAAGTGGAAAATTGGGTCTCTGAATGGTTTGCCTTAAACAAGAAAAGTTCTATTGGGATGGTACCCACAAATTAACTGAAAGATGGGGAAATGTGCAGCTACCAATGGACATTACTTTGAATAAAGCACTTTTGATGTTTCTTTTGAAATTATCCTATTTCTTTTATCACAAAATCCACATTATTAACCAATATATGATCATAGTAAGCTTTCCATAGAAGAATAATATTCACATTTGTATGCAATACCTCCAATTTATGGATTACGCCTTTCAATTCTTCAGCACGTTTGTGAAAGCTATAGAATGTCTGCTTTCGATGGGTCCTCATCTGACTCAAGGAATTGCTTAGAAGAGTAAAAGTGTTCCAGTAATGACATTCGAGAGCATTGGCTAGTTCTCAAAGAGATGAGTGCCTCTCATCTGCCCTGTTACAGGGTCTCCTGTTGTGTGGTGGTCTCTTTTGCTTTAAAAGCCTTTCAGCTTTTATTATCCACAGTTTTTTTATTAGGAATATGCACTTTACTATCAGAAACAGGGGGAAAAAGGCCCAAACACATAGGATCTATACCAATAATATAGGAATATGCAAATTGTCTGGGACACCATTACAGTAACAGTAACAATCAAACAGAAGACTGTGTGAGGCAACAAGGCTGGCATGGGGGTTGGTGAGGGATGACCAAATGACTGAACAACAGGCTGCATGGGGCGACCAGGCTGCCATGGGACAGTTGGGGGCAATCAGACGAGTTAGGTGCAAAGTAAGGGGCAACCAGAGAGGCAGAGTGTTAGACAGTGAAGGCTGAACAGGCCAGCAGGGGGGCAGTTAGGGGCAACCTGGTTGGCAGGGTGGCAGTTAGGGACAATCATGCAGGCAGGCAGGTGGGCTGTTAGGAGGCAACAGTGTTGGTTTGTGATAGGGAAGTCCTATTGCCGGTTTAGGCCCGATTTCCAGGATAGGGACTAACCAGCAATCAGACACTCACCATGGCCCCTTTCATCATTATTGTTTCCTTGGAACTGCTGCGGGGCTAGGTTAAAACCTGCAAAACTATCCCATAATGATCCTCTTACTGTAGAAGGGCATCTTAGCTGTGAATCACTTGGTTCTAACATGGCCTTTATTCATACAAATTTACTACAGTTTCTTTGTTTTACCGTAGTGACAGTCTACATTTTGTTTTTATCAGAAATGAATTTTCTAGTAAAGCAAATTGTATACCTTTGTCTTTTTTTCTGAATTTCAAGGTTAATTTTATTTTATATTGGTGATTATTTAGTTGTTCATGTAAAGTAAAAGTTAATGCCACTCTGTAGAATTAGTTTATTCCCCAGCTCTGGCCAGTGTCACTCAATGGTTAGAGTGTGGATCCACACACCAAAGGACACCAATCTGATTCTAGGTCAAGGGCACATACATGGGTTGCATATTCAATCATGGCCCAAGTTGGGGTACATGCAGAAGGAAACCAATGGATGGATATCTTTCCCAATGATGTTTCTCTCTCTCTCTCCCTCTCTCCCTCTCTCCCTCTCTCTCTCCCTCTCTCCCTCTCTCTCTCTCTCTCTCTCTCTCTCTCTCTCTCTCTCTCTCTTTTTCCCTGTTCCCCCGCTCTCCCTCTCTCTCTCTCTTTCCCTCCATCCCACCCCTCACTTTCACTTTCTCTAAATATCAATGGGGAAAATCTCTTCTTGTGAGGATTAAGAAAAAACAAAAAAGAAAAAAGAAAAACTCATTTTAAATCCTAGAAACAAAAAAAATTAAATTTCCCAATGATATTATTTCCCTTTATAATAGGTTTATTTAACTCATATTTCTTTTATGTATCTTTCTCTCTGTTAATATTGTTTTATTTAATTTCCATTCTTTTTTTTTCTTTTTTTGCTTAATCCTTTCACCTTTGGGCACTGTTCTTTTAAAAATCACTTATAATAACATCAAGAATCAGACGAGCAACAATACACAGTGTAACTCCAGCTTACTTTAAAGTTCTAGTGAACTCAAAGGCAAATCATATCCAGGTAACCTAGAAAGAATGATGATAAAAAGTACACTCTTGTTAATATGTATGTGTGTGTGAGTATATATATATATATATATATATATATATATATATATAACATCTTTTACTTTAGCTGCTCAAATGACTCCAGGCCCCGCCCTTCACAGGCTGGCCTTTTCGAACCTGGGGCCTCCCCTAGTGGCAGGTGTGTTTTCACTTTTCCTACATCAGCCAGGATTGCCCCTCTGTCCAATAATATATAATAAATCATATATATGGTGATAACAGTACATATCTATGTAGATTATAGAAATTACCTTCTATAATTAGGTAATAAGAAGTGTATCTCTGTCTGAATTCTCTTATCAGTTCCTGTATCCATAACCCTTGTCCTGTAAAGTCTATACTTATGCTCCTCAGGGAAATTCTTCTGGCCTATGCTTCATTACCTCAACAGCACTCTAGATATTTGCTAATTAATCTCACAAATTAATCAGGAACTGGGTAATGGGAGGGTTACAGAAGCAGGGGGAATGTGACATCACTAATACTCTCATCAATAAAGATTTTTTTTTTTTAAGTAATTTAAAAAATGTTAGAAAAAAGATAAATAAGTTCTGTCCTATCGGATTTGGTCTGCAGACTGAAGATTCCCAGATTTGATTCTGGTCAAGGACACAGGTCCAGAGTGCAGGCTGGATAACCGGTAGGTGGCATGCAGGACGCAGCCAATCAATGATTCTCTCTCACCATTGATGTCTCCCTCCCTCTCCCTTCCTCTCTGAAATCAAATTCTTTAACTAAAAGTATCTAACAAGTTTTGTTTAATGGGATTTGTTTTCAATGCTAGTCCTGGCATGTTGAGCAGTGCCTAATGCCTAGTAGGTAGGCCTGGAGAGGTGAGTTATACTTCATGAATGAATGAAGGCATTTGTCACCCTCTGGGCATGATCCCTGGAAGTCCTGGGCTTACACCTCAATTCTCAGCAGAGCCTCTTTTTCCTGCATCTGGACAATTAAAGATGTTTGTCAAGTTGCCCGCCTCCCCTTCTTTTTTCTTCCTGCTGAGTGGGGAAGAGAGGAAGAGCTGGTCTCCTCTCTTCATTACAGGCTGCTCTGCCTTTCTGACTCTCTCCCACCCCCAGCAGCCTTCTGCCTTCCTCTTCTCCCCTCCCCTGACAGCCTCCCTCTTGGTGGTTCCAGGTTCTTTGTGGCAACCCCCCTAGAGGTGCCTTTCTCCTCCTCTCCCTGCCCTGGGGTATCCCACACAAAGGCAGGTCTCTATGTCCCCTACCCAGCAGGGCTCTGTGACCTCCCTCTGTGGGGCTGGGGCTGCCCTTGTCTGCGAATCCTGGCATGACCTCACCTTCTGCAGGTGAATCAGAGTCTGTATCAGTTTCTCTTTCGCTTTAGCTGCTCAACTGGCTCCAGGCCCGGCCCTGCACAGGCCTTTCCCAGCCTGGGGCCTCCCCTAGTGGCAGGTGTGTTTTCACTTTTCCTACATCAGCTGGGATTGCCCCTCTGTCCAAGCTAAAAGCTGCACCATGGAGCCCATGTCAGCAGAGCTGCAAGTTCAGACATACAGACAGAACAGCAGCCTGAGACACAGAAGAGGAGACTGAGACCAGAGACACCAAACAAGGCTGGTGACACCCAGGTGACAGCCTCTCTGTGGACACTTGGACGCCCATCTGCTGACAGAGACCAGAGAGCAGAGGCCAGAGACCAGGATGAAGCCTGACTGGGCTGTGTGGTGCACGCTGGTGCTGATGCTGATGGCCGCGGTGCTGAGCAGGACAAGAGCAGTTCCTGCCCCTCCGCCCCCCAGGACCCACCTGGGTGCCAGGGGCTGCCACATGGACCAGTTCAAGTCTCTGTCCCCACAAGAGATGAAGGCCTTCAAGAGGGCCAAGGACGCCCTGGAAGAGTCCCTCCAGCTCAAGAACTGGCACTGCAGCTCCCGCTCACTCCTCAGGCCCCGGGACCTGAGGCAGCTGCAGGTGTGGGAGCGCCCTGTGGCCTTGGAGGCTGAGCTGGCCCTGACACTGAAGGTCCTGGGGACCGTGACCAACTTGACCCCGGGGGACATCCTGGACCAGCCCCTCCTCACACTGCAGCACATCCACTCCCAGCTTCAGGCCTGTGTCCCAGCTCAGGCCCCAGCTGGCCCCAGGCCCCGGGGCCACCTCCACCAATGGCTGCATCGCCTGCAGGAAGCAGAGAAGAAGGAATCCCAGGACTGCCTTGAAGCCTTTGTCACATCCAACCTCTTCCGCCTCCTCACCCAGGACCTGAAATGTGTCGCTGCAGGAGACCTGTGTGCCTGACCTTGAGGCCTGGCAGCCACCTGTGCCCTCATCATGGATTTTATTTATGCATGCCCCCTTTTTTAATTTATTGTCACCCAACCACTATTTATATATTTATATATTTATGTGTGTGACTTGTCCACCTCAGACCTGACAAAATATTTATTTTTCTACTTTTGTAAAAATGTTGCTAATGAATATCGAATACAAAAAAAAATAAGCATTTGTCAACTTTTCTCAACATTAATAAAGAAAAATAAATTGGAAATCTAGTATATTCTTGCGATATATGTATATTGAAGATGTATATGTATGTGTGTGTGTGTATATATATATATATATATATATATATATATATATATATATATATATGTATACTAAAGGCCTGGTGCACAAATTTGTGCATAGGTTGGGTCTTCCAGGGTAGCCTGGGTGGATCAGGTCTCAGCTCATGCCTTCAGCCTCGCAGCCCTGTAGCCCTGCTTGGTACCCTGCCATGGCCTGGCACTGCCTTCTCACCTGCTCACCATCCTGCCTGTGGAGTGATGGATCGGGGCCAGGTCCCCCACCAGGATCCCTCATGCCTGAGAGCTGGGTGGCAGCCCCAGCCCCACCACCACTGACTGCCATCCTTGAGGCGATAAGCAGGGTAATCAGGCCTCCTGTTCCCACCCATCTTGATCTGGTGCCACCCACTCACCTGCCCCACCATCCCCGCTGCTAACCCGCTCTCATCGGGGCCAGCAGCCTCCACTGCTTCCCTCTACCAGTACCCTGTTGCTGATGCCTGCCATGTTCCACATCGCCCCCTGTGGTCAGTGCACATCATAGCAAGTGGTTGCACTCCAGGTCGAATGATCACCCAAGGGGACAATTTGAATATTAGACTTTTATTATGTAGGATATGTATATATGTATATCAATTCTAATTAAAGGGTAATATGTTAATTACCCTCCAGGAGACTTTTCAGGAGTCCTTCCAGACCTCCTTCCATATAAAGCCATGGTGGCGGGGCCAAGGCAGAGGCAGTTAGGGGCAATCAGGCCAGGACAGGAAGGCAGTTGGGGGTGATCAGGTTGGCAGGGGGTCTAGCTGGGGTGAGCAGGCGAATGTGGGGGGCACTTGGGGCAAGCAGGAAGGTCGTAGGGGGCAGTTGGGAGTGATTAGGCCAGCAGAGGGAGGCAGTAGGGGTGGAATAAGCTGGTGGGAGACGTTAGGGCCAGTGAGGGGGGACTGTTGGGGGAAAGAAGGCCAGCAGGGTGGGCAATTGGGGAGAGCAGGCTGGAAGGCAGAGTGTTTAGGAGTGATCAGGCAGGCATGCAGGTGAGCAGTTAGGAGCCAGCAGTCCCAGATTGTGAGAAGGATGTCTCCTGAAGGATCCAGATTGGAGAGGGTGCAGGCCAGTCTGAGGAACACCCACCCCATGCATGAATTTGTGCACTGGGACACTAGTATGTATATGTGTATATTCATATATGTGTGTATGTGTATATACATATATATGAGAAGGTAACTGATAGATGGTAAAGAGATTTTTAAACCAGATAGCATATATCTGAATTTGAGGTCTACCACTAACCTCAGAAATATTTTATGGAAATTCAGTGAGTTAATTCATGTAAACTGTTTAGCAGAATGCCAGGCATATAGTAATGCTCACCAATATATACACCTCAGATGTCAACAAGACTCTCTATGGTACCAGAAGGCTACATAAAATATCCTTGGTTTTGGAAAGTCAAAATGATTTTTTAAGAAACCCAGAACCTTGCCCTGGCTGGTTTGGCTAGTGGATAGAGCATCAGCCTGAAGATTGAAGGGCACTGGGTTTGATTCTGGTCAAAGGGCACGTGCCCGTGTTGCATGGTCAACCTCCAGTAGGGGGCATGCAGGAGGCAGCCAATATATGATTCTCTTTCATCATTGGTGTTTCCATCTCTCTCTTCCTTTCTTTTCCTCTCCGAAATCAATGAAAACATATTTTTTTTAAAAAACAAACCACCACCACCACCACCACAACAACAACAAAAACAGAAGCTTGAGAATTTCCTGGCTCCTGCATTCCACATGCCATCCTTTCTCCACCATGGTAGACAGCCAGATGTGAAACTCCATTCTGACAAAATACTTGTGAACAGACATCACTTAAATGGTTGGGGTCATGCAGAGAGGTAATATGGAGCACCACTGGTTTAAAACAATAATTACTGCCCCTTCTCCTACAAAGTGACTCTAATCTCAAATCATATGTTGGACATATCTATACCAATATTTTCTACTACCAACAGTTTAGCAAGGGGTTGTCTTGGCCTTTCATTCCCATGGTACTCTGTCTCATCAGGGCAAAACAGTTGGAGTCTTTAGTGCCAGCCAACACTGAGCATGTAAACACACACAGACACACACACTCACACACACATAAGCTCACCCTACAGCACGTTATACATAAAAATCATGTCCTCAACATCATTAAAGGTGTTTGTTTTTGAAATTAAAATTATAGGTGATTTTAACTTTTTTCTTAATAGTAATCTTTATTTTACAATTGTTCTTCAGTGAATATAGATTGCCTTTATTATGAGAAAAAATATTTTTTAAAAGAAAGAGAGGTGGCACATAATAAATTTAAGACAATATTCTTTCAAAGTATAGGCATTTTTACATGGCCACTTAGTTATATGCTTCAATTAGTTGGAAGTTTTTACTTTAATGGAATAATCTGTAAAATAACCCAATAACTGCAATCAAATGAGGACTAGAGTGTTTCACTCCCCATGAAGGTGAAACATTCTATTTAATATATGTATATCTTATCTTATATATTTTATATAAATAAAAGCTATATTTATGGGATATAATTTTTAATCAATGATTATTCAAAAAAATTTTCAAAGTTGTTTTTAATGGAGCCCAAAATAACACATTATGCAATTTTTTATAGAAAAATTATGATTCAAATACCATTGCATTGAAGCCTAAGTTTGTGGAGACATGAGAGAGGGGAGGGCCTGGAAAATCTAAGGCTTGAGAGCCCATTCTATATATTAACGTGGCAGCAATTCATTTCAATTGTTTTAATCAAAGGAAAATGTATGTACATGATTCCAAAATTTTCCGTTTTTCTAACTCTTCACTGGAAAGTAACGGAAAACTACTGCAGTTAGCAGAAAAGGTGTTTCTAGGTGCCAAAGAGCAGAGCACAGAGAGGATTTAGGAAGGGAAAGGGATCAGGAACTCAAATCCATCAGGCCAGGCTGGCTGCTCCTCTTCTTCATTTATGTTTTTAAACATAGTTCCTCCTATTTCAAAGGCAAGTCAAAGACAGTTGCTCCACAGACTAAGCCAGAGTGAAATAAGTTGGGTCCACTTAGTTTTCATTCAACATTTCTAGAAAATAGAATTCAATGGGAGCCCAGATTTGGTGAGGAAGTCCGCTTATGCAAACAACTAGAGACAGAGCTCTCCTTGTGGAGTTGTCACTCGTGGCTTTAAAAGCCTTCTGTTTGTTGTTACCTACCATTATTTCAACATCTATTCCTAGAAAAGAAAATCACTGTGTGCTACGCCAAAATTCCCAAAGACAGAAGTCTGAAAGTGTTTGACACATGACTTTACAGTTTTATTAAGTGAATATCAGTAAAACCTTTAAAACACTAAGTATAAGGAAGATATGTAAGAGTATCAATCACACATAAAAACCCCATCAGTGTTGCAGTTTATATAGACTACAGCTCACACTGCATTTATATGACCATAGTAAGCTTTTCATAGAAGAATAATATTCACATTTATATACAATAGCTCCCATTTATGGATTACGCCTTTCAATTCAGTAGTACTTCTTTGAAAGCTTTAGGATGTCTGCTTTTGATGGGTCATCAACTGACTCAAGGAATTGCTTAGAAGAGTAAAAGTATTCCAATAAGTGCATTCGAGAGCACTGGCTAGTTCTCAAAGAGATGAGTGCCTCTCATCCCTGTTACAGGGTCTCCTCATGTGTCATTGTCCCCTTTGCTTCAAAAGCCTTTCAGCTTTTATTATCCACAGTTTTATTATCCACACTTTACTCCCTACCAGGAACAGGGGGGAAAAAGCCCAAGTTCATAGAATCTACACTAATAAAAAAGAAAAATGCTAATTGATCTAACTTCACTATGCCCACAGCCAAGCAGTGTGAGTATGCAAATTAACAAAACAAGATGGAGGTTAATTTGTATAGGCATGGTGTGAAGCCTGCTATGAGGGGAAGGGGGCGATGGAGGCAGCTACTGGAGTGATACTCCAGACAGAAGCAAGGACTAGCTGGCTCTGGGTGGCTCAGGAGCGGGGACATGCCAGCTCCCGGGCAGCTGGGGTGGGCAGCTGGAAGTGAAGCCAGGGACCTATTCTTGCACAAATATCATGCAACTGGCCTCTAGTATCTTTATAATTGACTAGAAGCCCGGTGCATGAAGCCCGGTGAACAGGGAGTGCGGGGAGAGGTGTCCCTCAGCCCAGCTTGCACCCTCTCCAATCTGGAACCCCTCAAAGGATGTCAAACTGCCCGTTTAGACCCACTTGAATTGGGTCTAAATGGGCAGTCAGACGTCCCTTTCACAATCCAGGAGTGCTGGCTCCCAACTGCTCGCCTGCCTGCCTTCCTGATTGCCCCTAACTACTTCTGCCTACCAGTCAGATCACCCCCTAAGCATTCCAATGCCATCCTGATTGATGTCTAACTGCTCCCCTGCTAGCCTGTTTGCCTCCAACTTCCCTCCTCTACTGGCCTGGTCACCCCTAACTACCCTCCCCTGCAGTTTTGATCACCCCCAACTGCCCTCCGTTGCAAGCCTGGTGCCTTCCAACTGCCCTCCCCTGCTTGCCATCTTGTGGTGGCCATCTTGTGTCACATGAAGGCAGAATCTTTGACTACATGCGGATAGCCATCTTGTATGTTGGAATGATGGTTAATCTGCATATTACTCTTTTATTAGATAGGATAGAGGCCTGGTACATGGGTGGGGGCCAGCTGGTTTGCCCTGAAGGGTGTCCTGGATCAGGGTGGGGGTTCCCTTGGGGCGTGGGGCATCTTGGGCGAGAGGCCTGTGGTAG